GTTATTTGCTATTTGGCCCCTTTCTGCCTTCTTCCTCTTAAGGAATCGTTCGGCTCGTTCCCCACGCACCTTCAGATCCTTCCAGGTCTTTGGCGGTGCCATTCCCATGGCTTACAGGATGTCCAATGAAAGATTGTTATGACAGGTCTCGAGGATGAAATCTTCGCTGACCGGATCCCTGCAATTCATTGCTTTATTTCGGAATCTCTTCACGAAGTTTTCGACTGTCTCACCATTCTTCTGCTTCTCATCAAACAGAGTGCCGATTGAGACCTTAGTGTCGTCGTCGAAGAAGTTCGTCAGAAACATATCCTCCATGTCGTCCCAACTGCTGATACTCCCCGGCTTGAGGCGACGATACCAATCGAAGGCCGCTCCGCGAAGAGTGCCAACGAATGACCGCACCATTAAGGGTTCATTGCCGGAGATCGTGCCCAAGTGGGACTTGAAGTATATTAGGTGTTGGGTAGGGGAACCCTTTCCGTCGAACGGCGTGAAGTTGATCAGGTTGAACTTTGCCGGATATGGAATTGATTCCCACTCCCTTGGATATGGACCTCTCCCCGTTCATTCTCCTCTTGATTCGGATTATTGCGACGACTGGGTTCTCCTTGGTGAATTGTCAGTGCCGCGATTTGCTGGTCATGCATCTCTCTCATTTGCTGCATGGCCATCTCCATCTCGAACTTGAAACTTTCCTTCTGCTTAGCTAGGGCATCTTCAAGCATCTTGGTTACTTGTTCGGCGCTGATCATGAGTGACTCGTAAGGTTGCCCCGTACTAGACGTCGTGTCATCGGATGCTATAGCCGAGTAGGAGTCTGAACCAGCATCTGACGCCTCCTCTTCCAAACGAAGTCCCTTTTGCATCCTTTGGTAATTCTTTCGCCTATTGATCCCTGACCGCAATCGAGTCATGCGTTGGGCTGCTTCGGCAAGTTGATCTGAGCTAGAGTGTCGTGTCGATTTCCCTCTGCCGGTCATATTAGCAGACACCTCCAGGAACTCGTCCTCTTGGCGAACAGGCTTCTTCCTACAGAAACGTCTTGGCTTGGTCTCGGACGTACCGATGGAAATTTTTTCGAACACCGAAACTCTCCTTGGGGCTTTAGCACAGCAGCATTCCGACAGCACCGCCTTGATTATGTTGGCACACGGATAGTGGGATTCCGTGTTTCGAGTATCTCTCTTTCGAGACTTACCCGCACCCCCAGCTCTATAGTACAACTCATCAATTTGATAACTGGAGCAACCCATAGAGTGTTGACATGACCTCCCAGGTATAACACCATCATCATCAGACGAATGTGTTTTCCTCTGGGGAAATGACGCTTTATTAGCGTTTTCAGAAGTCGCTCGTTCAAGTCTACGCTTTTACGAGCGTGAAAACTTAACGGGCTCTTGAACTTCGACACGCAATCCAATGCGGTCGGTAACAGGGGCTTTCCCTTTGTTATCTTTCTTGGGGGGATTAGCACGACCCCCAGTCGGGTTTGTTGTTTGGGGACTTTTCAACGGTCCCAATCGTTCCTTGACAGGTGCTTTACCTCGGTACTCCGGTAAAGGACCAAGGCGACCTTTCAAAGGAACCCTGGATCTTGAAGGATCCACGTTCTTACCTGACTCCGCCGGAGGTGCGGGGGCAAGGGAAACGGAATCTAGATTTGATAAAGGTTGAACGGCAATTCCATCCACTTTTGCCTTTGGCGCCGGTTTTGCCTTTGGCACCCACATCCGCTTATGTTTTGACGGCCTCTTGACCGTCTCTTCTTTCTGCATCTCTTCCGCTTTCTGCAGAAGGACTCGGGCATGCGCGAGCAATGCGCGGCGTTTCTTGATTTGCTCTTTGAGGGTTGAGCGAGTCCTCTTGACACGAACCCATTCGTTCGCCTCTGTCTTGGAAGAGGAGTTGGTTGTGCGCCATTGTTGCTCTTGGCGCTGTCTGGACTTTAGATCCTCATTGTAGCGGATCTCGTCCATCGATTCTGCAGCCTTGGCCAACTGTCGCGCAAGGCGTTGACGCCGTCTTTGGCGTGCTCTCTTCGACAAAGCTAGAGCACCTTCGACACTTGTCTTTACGACGGAGGGCAGATCTGGATCTGCGGCTTCAACCGTGTTGGACGTCATAGGAACGTCGCGGGGAGTAGATGCAACAGCAAGGGGATCTCGGATCTTCAAGTCGGAGGTCCCGTGAGCATTTCTGGAAGATGAAGTCTTCATGCGCCTGTTTGGAGAGGCGGATCTGGAGGAGGAGGAAGAGAGGTACTCTTCAAACTTTTGTTGATCAAACTCGTATTCGATCTCTTCGTTCAACCGGATCTTGAATGCCGGTTGCGTCACGACGGCCTCTGCAGCGAGGCCGTTGGCTCCCACTGTGGTCGCCAGCTTGTTTTCGTCAAAAGTTACCTTCATCATTGATTTCATTAAAACTTCAAACGTTACAAATGAATTCAAATAACAAAAATAAAAATTACAACTTTCTTGAAAATAAACACAAGATCCGTTTATCGTCTCTTGCTTGCGTGGGTCTTTAGCCTGTGACGGGGACGTCGATATCCGTGGACTACCTGGCAATCAGATCTGATCCAGAAAAATCGGGCAGAGCTTCGTCGATCCGCGAGGAGATCTAGAAACTTGGAGCGCCTATCTCGGATAAAGCGAGATATTTGCTCTTCTTAGGATTACCGACGAGGGGTAATGCTAAGGAACGGATGCGGGCGATGTAGATCTGATGAAGAGCTCTCTTGTGTTGAAGTGCTCGATCACTCTTCACTCCAGCAGGGTTTCGCCAATTCTCCAAAAATCCAGATCCTGAAAAAGTGAGGCCTAAGGCTTCTATTTATAGGCAACACCCCTGGGGCGTCCCCAAAAATCTAGGATACCCCTGGGGCGTCCCCAAAAATCTAGGACACCCCTGGGACGTCCCCAAAAGTCTAGGACACCCCTGGGGCGTCCCCAAAAATCTAGGACACCCCTGGAGCGTCCCCAAAAATCTAGGACACCCATGGGGCGTCCCCAAAAGTCTAGGACACCCATGGGGCGTCCCCAAAAATCTAGGACACCCCTGGGGCGTTCCCAAAAATCCCCTGGGGCGTCCCCAAAAGTCTAGGACACCCCTGGGGCGTCCCCAAAAGTCTAGGACACCCCTGGGGTGTCCCTAAAAATCTAGGACACCCCGCTGTAAATTCTTCGTCCGAACCCGGATTTTAGTGATTCGAATTGCGTTGGAATTCTGACGAAGAGTTCTATCGGCCCTGATGGTTGGATTATCTGTAGAACGAACGAGACACGAAAGACGTTGTTCTTTTTGTAAACATCGCGGGGCTCTCGATTAGCCTGTGCCTTCGTTATTCCAAAATTCTGTCAGCTCACGTAGTTCGTTGATTCACTTCAAGCGTTCACCGACGTCAATCGAACTCCTGTGAACCAGATAGTGACGTTCATTGTCGTTCCTTAACACTGAGCTGTTCGTGGAGACCTATAGGCAATTTTCGATGCCTACAACAACAAAATAGAGTTGCTGAGAGGAAGCATAGGCATATTCTAGATGTTGCTAGAACACTAATAATACATATGAATATTTCAAAGTATTTATGATCTGATGTTGTTCTCACTGTAAATTATTTGATTAATCGCATGCCTTCCTCTGTCCTTGATGGTTTAATACCATTCAATTGTCTTTATCCTGATAAAAAATAATTCTTTATGATTCCCCGTGTCTTTGGTTCTACGTGTTTTGTTCAGGATTTAATTGCTGGTTTGGATAAGTTGTCTTCTAGATCCATCAAATGTGTTTTTGTTGGATACTCTCGTACTCAAAAAGGGTATAGGTGTTATCATCCATCTACCAGGAAATATTTCGCGTCTGCTGATGTCACCTTTTTTGAGTTTGTCCCCTATTTTTCGTCTGCTTCCACTAGTATTAGGTGTCCAGAGGTACCACTACCTTCCTCTGCTCCTACTACTATTCCATTACATGCTCCTGTAGCTCCTGCACCGAAGTCTCTACTGACATACTCTTGTCGCCCGAAAGTACATGCCCCTGAATCTGCTCCTGCTAAATCTTCATCTCTAGCTATCGGTCTCTTCATCTCCAGCTGCTGGTCCATCTCATGTTGAGACATCTATTCCTTCTGACTTGGATATCCCTATTGCTCTTCAAAAAGGCAAACGGTCTTGCCCGAAATATCATATCTCTCTTTTTGTCTCTTATGACCGTCTCAGCTCATCTTTTCGTCAGTTTGCTTTGTCCTTGTCCACTGTATCTATACCCAGGTCACATGAGGAAGCTATGTTAGTACCAGCTTAGAAGCAGGCTATGGATGAGGAAATGAATGCATTACTTTCTAGAGAAACTTGGGACTTGGTTTCTCTTCCTACTGGAGCGACTGTGGTTGGTTGCAGATGGGTGTATATCCTGAAATATCGCCCCGATCGGTCTGTTGACCGTTACAAAGCTCGCCTGGTTGCTAAAGGTTATACCCAAACATATGGCGTCGACTATTTTGAAACCTTTTCTCCCGTTGCTCGTCTTAACTCCATCAGAATTCTTTTCTCTCTGGCTGTTAATATGGATTGGGTGATGCACCAACTAGATGTGAAGAATGCTTTCCTTTATGGTTTGGACGAGGAGATTTATATGGAGCAACCTCCTGGGTATGTTGCTCAGGGAGAGAATATTATATGTAGGCTGAGAAAGGTCATCTATGGGTTAAAGCAAAGTTCTCGAGCTTGGTTTGATAAGTTCAGCAAGGTTATTTCTAATGTTGGTTTCCAACGATGTCAGTCTGATCATTCTGTCTTTCTTCGACGTACAACAACTGGTTTGGTTATTTTAGCCGTATATGTTGATGATATTCTGCTGACTGGGAGTGACTCTGTTTCCTTAGCTGAGACTAAGGAGTATCTAAACCGTTATTTATCACTAAGGACATGGGAAAGCCAAAGTATTTTCTTGGGATTGAAGTTGCATATCAAAAGCATGACCTGTTGTTGTCCCAAATGAAGTATGTGCTAGATTTATTAGAAAAAGCGGGTCTCTTGGAATGCAAACCTGCAAGCACTCCAATGGAGGCAAATATTGATTTGTGGCGTGATGATACCTCTCTACTAGATGATGCTGGTTGATTTGTGGCGTGATGATACCTCTCTACTAGATGATGCTGGACAATATAGGAGACTAATTGGGAAGCTAATATATTTGACAGTTACCAGACCTGATATAGGAGACTAATTGGGAAGCTAATATATTTGACAGTTACCAGACCTGATATTACTTTTGCAGTAGGTGTAGTGAGCAGGTTTATGCACAAACCTAGAGAGGTTCATTGGACAGCAGCTCTGGAAATTTTGGCATATGTCAAGAGTTATCCTGGTAAGGGATTGCTATATAAGAAGCATGGGCATACTCACATTTCGACTTTCTCTGATGTTGGCTACGCAGGAAACATGGGAGACCGAAAGTCTACCTCAGGATTCTGTACTTTTATTGGAAGTAATCTTATAACTTGGAGAAGCAAGAAACAAGATATAGTGTCACGATCTAGTGCAGAGACCGAATATAGAGCAATGGCTCACACTGCTTGTGAGATGGTGTGGCTACGAAAATTTATGACAGAGCTTGGTCTTGTTCAGCCTGGACCCATGCCAATGCATTGTGACAACCAATCTGTCATTTATATTGCACAGAATCCTGTGTTTCATGAGAGGACAAAACATATTGAAGTTGACTGTAATTTTATTAGAGATGCTTGGGAGAAGAAGATAGTATCTCTCATATTCACTTCGTCCTCACAGCAACTTGCTGATATTCTTACCAAGACTACTTCTTCAAAGGTGTTCTCTACTATATGTGACAAGCTGGGCATGATAAATATCTATGCACCAGTTTGAGGGGGAGTGTTAAATTAAGTATTGGGTATTGGGTTAATGAGCTATTACCCGTTAACATTAACCCTATTTGTATGGCTATATCTATCTCTCTTATTATCTCAATAAACAACAAGTTAGGGTTTTGCTCTCTCTATTATCTCTTTCTACATGTTGGATTGAAGTTAAACGTGGTAGATTGAACTTAAACATAATAGGTCCAGGTTACATTGAACTATGTCTTGTATGTGACCAGGATCCTGTGTATGTTATTGCCGTCGATTGATTATCTGTATGTTATTGCCGTCGATTGATTATCTGTTTGATATATAAGGTGTATCATTCTGAGTGTACTGCTGTAAGTAATGTGAATCTTGATATTTAGAGACGTTCAGATTAAATTTGAATGCTTGATATAAATGTTTTGAAATCTCTGCTTGATGCAATTTGAATGGGATACCATCAGGCAAAAGTAATGTTGCAAGAATTATTCTCTTCTTTCAGAAGGATAGTGTTAACTGCGGGGCTTAGGGGCTGTTTGTTTGCAAAAAAAAGAAGGAAATTAAGGAATAAGAAACCTATTTCCTTAAATAATTGTTTTATGGTTGTTTGGTTGGCTAAAAAAGAAGGAAATCAAATAATAGGAGATGAGATAAGATGAGTTGTCACAATATTATTGGATGATGTGAATGATTTTTTAAGAAAAGTTGTTGGATGGTTGTTTGATTGGCTAAAAAAGAAGGAAATCAAAGAATAAGAAACATATTTCTTATAATAGGTCCTATTCTTGTGTTTGGTTCAATCTTAAAAATAGGAGATGAGATGGGATGAGATGAGTTGTCATTATATTATTGGATGATGTGACTCACACTTAAGGAAATCAATTTCCTTGTTTTTTTTGGAGGAAATGGGTGGAGATGAAATGGAGATGAGATGAGATGAGTTGTCACAATATTATTGGATGATGTGAGTTATTTTTAAAGATGAGATGAGATGGAGATGAGTTGAGTTGGATGATGTGACCCATAAAAGTTGTTTGGTTTATTTTATTGGATGATATGAGATGAGTTGTTGGATGAAAATAATATTTTATTGGATGATGTGGATGAGTTGTATGATGAAAATAATATTTTATTGGATGTTGTGGGTTAGTTTTAGGGATGGAAATGGTGGAAATTGCACTTTTTTGATTTCCATGACTCAATTTCCTTTTTTTTGGTTTTTAGGAAACCAACCAAACAGCCCCTTAGGCTAGCATTGGATTTTTTTTTCCTTTCTTGAAATAAGTTACTCTATAAATGTCAAACTATTAGGGTTGTTCCTCCCAAAAAGCCAACTTCTTCCTGTAATAATAAATTTGGTATAGTAACACTGCATAATTTACTTTTTTAAAGGAAATTTCTCTTAATACTCAGTCCACAAATTTTTTAAATTACTGCTCTTTAATCCAACGGCATTTTAATCTACTTAATTTATGAAGACTCCTCCATTAAATTTATGATTTTGGCTATACAATTTTGTTTATCCTCTCTCAAAGAAAAGAATAAAATTAAATATACTAAAATGAATTCAGAAAAAGTAAGTCTCATATTAAGGGGGAAATGATACGTAAAATACCAAATTTATACTAAAGGACTCACCACGCAAATCCTAACCCACATAGGGGTTAGTTTGTAAAAAAAATTCCAAATATGATAATGACTCCTCCTATGATAAATAACCAAGTCCTTCGCCCTCGACTCAAGTCGATCCCCTTTCGATTCAAGGGTTAGGGTTTCGATCTGCCCCCTTTCAGTTCAATCCCCTTTGTGATCCTAGAGATGCCTCAGCGTCACTCGAAGAACAACAACGACCTCGCGTTCTTCACCTACGATGAGAAGAAAAAGTTAGGGTACGGGACTCAAAAGGAGCGGCTTGGCAAAGATTCGATTAAGCCCTTCGACGCTTGCTCCCTCTGCCTCAAACCCTTCATCGATCCTCTCTCCTGCCAGAAAGGCCACGTCTTTTGCAAAGAATGCATCTTTGAGTGCCTCCTCTCTCAAAAGAAGGATATTCAGAGGTACTGGTTTCGATAGTTAGGGTTTTGATTTCCTTTTTCTCGTTCTGATTTAGTCATGATTTTACTGAGATACTAGCTTTAAGCCCTTGCCTTGTGATGTTTCTGTAGAATTATCTTCTTTAATGTTCTTTCTTTATCGAAGAAATTATATTTATTTTGTAGTGTAGATCGTGTTCTCTTTGGGTCTGTTTTTGTTAGGATCCAAGCAACTTGGGGAACCCACCCTTAAAAGCTAGCTCTTAAGGGGGAAGAACCAAGCTACTTAAATACCCCATCAAGTTTCCCATTTTACTTGATGTGGGACTTTAGGCAGCCCATACTATCCAAGTCCCTAACATAGCACCGCCCCTGAGAGCCAACGTCCCGGCGGCTGCACTCTATGATGCTTCACTCGGCCTTTCTGGTCAGCCCCTCCACCGGTCAGCCCCTCCATAGGTAGCCCTTTTCGTGAAGCCGACAACCAGCTTTGATACCAATTGTTAGGATCCAAGCAACTTGGGGAACCCACCCTTAAAAGCTAGCTGTTAAGGGGGAAGAACCAAGCTACTTAAATACCCATCAAGTTTCCCATTTTACTCGATGTGGGACTTTAGGCAGCCCATACTATCCAAGTCCCTAACAGTTTTTGTGTTCGATACTAGATACCTGGGAGAATCAAGGAATTGTTGTAGTGCAAGCTATGGAGTTCAACGTGCCATGGTTTTGGACCCAAGATGAGATCTATGTTTTTTAAGTCTTAAGCAGGGAAAAGGAGGTGTGGATTCTAAACATTGGAGGAGGATCTGATTGGAATTCGAAGTTGGAGTACTATTTTTTCGTGATTTAGGGGGCCTAAAATCTTTGTTCAATGTGCTTTCCAGTGTGCTAGATGGGATAACAGATCCATATTTGATTCTTCAGCTCCTAACTCGCATTTCACAGACTTGTAAACAAAGTACACATACATTTTTTTTCTTCCTTTGTTTTCCTTCCTAAATTGACATAGATACCAAGAATTGGTGGAAATAGATAGTCGGCCTAATCCATTTGTTTTTCCCCTACCTCAACCCAAATGTGCATTAAGAATGATGTGAGACATATGAAGTATCATATCAAACAGGAATAAATATAACTCCTTTACTGCTGATGAACATTTTGTATTGGACGTATTTTGTCCTCTACGATTGTCCGCTTTACCCAAAAAGATTGGATAGCATCTCCTATGACATTGAGATGGATGACATTAAGAAGTGCTACGGTGGTGTTTTGTTATAAATGTATCACTTGAAGGGAGGCCTTATAAGGCTACTCTACAGCATATATCTTATTTGTGTCATTTCTTATGGTCTGTTTCTCATCTAATGCAATATCTTGGTATGTACATAATTGTGATTTCTTTTTGAGAAGTAAGAAATTTTCTGCATTGCTCTTTCTAATCTTCAGGCTAATATTGTCATTTAAAATCACCCATAGATATTGTTTGTAATGCAATATCTTAGTATGTACATAATCGTGATTTCTTTCTGAGAAGTAAGAAATTTTCTGCATTGCTCTTTCTAATCTTCAGGCTAATATTGTCATTTAAAATTACCCATAGATATTGTTTGTGATACTTCCAACGTCTGAGAGGAATCTGTAAAATATGTACTATATACTTCTTTCATGGCGGA